TTTAGGGTACATACCCACCCATCAATAGTTTCTTATATCAGGGGGTTGAAGGCAGGTATGGGTATAAGGAATTAATCATCGCCTTTCATAACCAACCCTAGCAAGAAAAGTATGTCAGCTAGTAACAATTGGGCTGCCTTGTGTTTTTTCCCTGACCTTAACTAGTTCTTCATTCAGCTATGTAATTTCCTAAAACTTTAGATTGCCTTCTTGGGTCTTTCATCTCAAAGCTATTCCACAAATGTATCTCGTCTCATCTTAAGTTATTTTCAAAGCTTTGTTTCAGCTTCGATGCACTTGGAAACGTGTGAACATATAAAAGGAACTGCAGCCAGCCTGGTTCCTGGGACTCAGGTGTTTTCCTTCATCATTAACCTGAACTGTGATCTGTGAAGCTCCTTAGGTGACACTCATAGGCCCTAGCTGAGTGACATTTCCATGTATTTATGTTTAATTATCAAAATGCTATTTGAAGTTAACATTATTATTATCAATTAGACAGTACAGCTTAGAAAGAAATCATCTTCATAATAATCCACAGGTAAAATTTCCCAGTAGAACAGGCTGTTCCCATTAGATAAACACATTATATTACAGGATCTCCCCACACTCATTCACACCATGCCAGACACCAGAGAAAGATGGTGATGGCAAACATGTGAAGGCTCAGCAGAAGAAAAGACGTTCTGGGGTCTGGGGTCCTGGGGCCTGGCCTATGTGAGATTCATCCTAAAGGGACCCATTCCATCAGCCTGGATGCCAGAGTGAGAATGAGAGACTAATTCGGGAAGCAGAAGTAAAGCACTAAAACCCTGCATCATTGTGACTGCTTCACACTGGGGAGCTGTTTGTCACACTGAGTGCCTCCTTCACTTCCAAACCTTCTAGAACTCTCTTTACCTAATTAACAAAGGCCAAACTGCTTGGTCCTACATCTAAAAAAGTTCCTAGCCCTAACCAGCCTTTATTTTTTTTTTATTTGTTGTTTACTTACTGCTTTTTGAAGGGAGTCTTAGAGAACACTAGTTAATCTGCCACAGCTGATCACACTCAGCAAACCACTGTACACTTGCTGCTGTCCCTTTATTTTACAGTCTCTGTGCCAAGGTTTCCTGTAAGACCTGGCAGAGAGTTATGAATGACCCCACGGAAGAGGAGAATGGCCTTAATGGACTCCCACAGAGCACAAGTCAGAACTAACCCAGGAAACTGGCGACCAGGACTGAGAAGAGAGAAGGGGATCCCACAGTGTGGGATCCCACAGTGGAGGATGCAGGCACAGCTCAGTAGCTGAGCAGGAATTAAGGCCTGAGTGCAGTCTCAGAAGGAAATGTCAAAGTCACAGTGCAGGATAATGGGGAAAATTCATTTCTCACTCCAAGTTCCCATGCTGATGTTTTAATCTCTAACAGTACAGTGTTTAGAAACAGGAACGTAAACGAGGTGGTAAGTAATGAGGTTATGAGATTGTGGCCCTGAAAGCCCAGGAGAGAGGCCTCTGGAGAAATGAAGCATGACAAAACCTTGAATTTCAACTTCCAGCCTCCAGATTTGTGGTTTAAACCACACAGGTTGTGGTATTTTATCAGGTGAGTCCTAGAAAAGTACTGTGTTGGGTTAGCACATGAAAATTGTCCGAGATTGTTGTAAACATTGTTTTCCTGCCTCTTTCCTTCACCCTACTCACTAACAGATACGCTCTACTCCTTGAAGGGGACAGTGCTACACTCTAACAGTGACTGTGCCCCTTACCTCAGGTGGGGTCCTTTATATTCCTCTCAGATCACTCAGATACTTAGGCCAAAGCAACCAAGAGGCCCATTGCACGCTGGAAGATTGACTGCAGCCCTCCCTCTGCATCCACAGGCGCTCTCTGCAACAAGCACGGATACCGAGTGGTGGGTGCACCAGTCCCATTATACAATCCGGAGTGTCTGCCTATAACCCATGCACATCTTATAGCACAATTCAAATCAACTTTAGGTTATTTACAGTATCCACTGCGGTGTCAATGACAAGTAAACAGTTCTTATACAGAACCGGTTAGAAACAATGGTGAGGAAAAAAAATGTCTATGCATGTTCAAAAACAACACATTTTATGAATAATCGTTTTTGATTTGTGGCTGGTGCATCTACAGATCCAGATACCATGGTTATGGAATGAAAACATGGACTGAAACGTGTTCTCTAATCTTTCCCCTAAAATAGGGTTCTTCACCTTCCCGGAAGTTTGCAGTGGGGTGAGGGCTGGAGGTGACACACAGCTTCACATTGATGGTTGAGCAGAACACTAAACATTGACATGTGTCAGTCCTCCTGACCAATGTCGACATCCTGGTGGCATCTCATTTGCAGTCTTAAAGCCGACTCTTTATCAATGTTCTGCCACTACATAAAGAAAGAGATTGTGTAAACTTTCTGAGTCTGGCTTCCAGCTCATTAGGTGGGAATTGTAGGTTCATTGTCCTAGGCTGGGAAAGCTGTAAACTGTTTCAGAAATACCAGTGTCATAAACAATAAGAGTTTGGATATCTGCCAGTGGCCATTCCCAAAATAAAACCATATGTTAAAGACATCATGGATTCAACGCCCTTTCCACTTGTTTTTAGTCAGTTTTTTCCCTTTGATCTCATTTGCAAGAGTTTTTATATATTGTATATGTTGTATATTGTATATTGCAGTGTTCTGAGTTTCTTAACTGATCTTTCTAGCCACAAGACTGAGTCGATTCCTCGAGCCTTATAAGTTGAAACAGCTCTCTTTGTACATAGAATTACACTTAAACCATAATTCCAGTTTGCCTTAAACAACCTGTCTGTAAGAAATTTCATTTTCACCATTTCGCCAAAATATGTCAAATTTAGTATGAGGAAAGAATTTGAGTCGGTCAAGAGTTTTGTTTTTGTTTTGTTTTGTTTTGTTTGTTTGTTTGTTTTTTTGTTAATGCTCTCCAGCTAAAGTGTTTCTCTTATTCTCATTGGATTTATCTCATTGCCAGTAATCAACCTCATAAACCCACCTTAAATAAATGGGGAATACTAATTAAAATAAGTTAATACTTAAAGTCCTTGAGAAAGTTCTTTAACCAACAAAGACAACTCCTCGGGAATGCTTTTCTATGTAACCTGGATGGTGTCATCTCTCCCAAGTCCCTGGTGACGCTATTGTAGAAACGGTGCCAGGGTCCTCTACACTGAGACCAGAGAGATATATACAGAGGCCCTGGGAGAAACAAGGACCAGCACAGCCACCCCTTCTCTTTCCAGGCCTAAGCTGAGGAAAAACACCCCATTGTCTGAGGAGCCAGACGTCATATCCTCAGTCCTTCCATTAGGAGCAATAATCCTGATCCCAGACACGTGCACCCCTTCCCAGCTGTGAGGGCCCCCGGGCACACTGCCCGGCTTCCTCTTCTCCCAGACTTCCCCACTGCAAAACAGAGATAAGTGTTGTTACCTTTCTCTCTCAAATAAGGCAATGGCTCTGGGGTCCTTGAAGAGAATGGCTAACTTTATAGCTAAGGCTTTGTTTGCTATGGTTTGCGTTGGTTTTTATGAATCTGTTTTCCTGAGGACTTTATCAGACATTCAGAAAACCTAAATTAAATTACAACTCCTTATCCAATGTTAATGAAGAATGTACAGTGTCCAAAGCGCTAGACACCTGCCAAATAGAGGGGTATGGTTGCCACCTTCAGGGAACTTCACAGTTGCTTTCTCAGTTAACTAGTACAGGTGTGAACCTGGAAGAATCCCACTTCCCTGGTTACAGTCAGAGGCCCTGGAGAAAGTGCCTCGCCTTCCCAAGCTTTACTGTTGTCTGACATAAACCAGGAAAGTTAACATTTATTGAGTGTCGACTACATGGTAGTGGATGTGTGCAGTTTATTTGCATTAAATTATTTAAACTCAGAACAATTACCTGAGATGGATCCTATGACCATTTCCACATCTGTAGCCTCATCTTATAGATAAGGACCCTGAAGCTTAGAGACGTTATTACCCTGGTCCTGGGTCTACAGTTACTGTGTGAGGACGACAAGCAGCAAATCTTAAAGCCTGTGGATTTAACCATTACGCTGCACTACCTTTCAAAAACATAGTACAGCCTCCACAGACTTGTCAGAATCAACTGACACAATTCATAGGAAGCTGTTAACATAGGGTCTGACTCATAATAAGTGTGCAACAAATATAGACATAGCAGCTGAAATGATTAGAGACATACATAAAGAACCAGGGTGCAGGGCCAGGCCTACTGGTGTTACTCCTTTAACCTGAAGGAGGCAAAGGCGGAAGGATTTCTGTGAGTTCCAGATTAGCCAGGGTTACATAGTAAGATCCTGTCTCAATAAATAAATGCCACAGTGCAAAGTCAAGAATAAGCACAACTGTGGTCTTTTTCCCAGGAAGACGTCTTCTTGTACACCAAGCTTTACCATCACGGGCTTACAGGAGGGGATGGCTGGGGAAGAGCAGGCTGCGGACTGCAGCACCCCTAAATCAGCCTGCTGGTGCTCGGTCAGCAGCAACCAAAATTTCTGATTTCCAGAGCTGCTCCCGCAGAGCTGTGTTAAGTAGCCGCAACTGTTGGCTATTAACATTCAGGCTGCATTTATGGGGACAGTTTCCAATTCAGTGTATAAAAATGCATCTGCTGCAAGAGTCCCCTCTCTTTTAACCCTGACTTTTCCAAGTGCCCTAGAAATAAACAACAGCGTGGACTCTCTTCAACATCTTCAAATCACACCCCCACCCCCAAGGGATCCCAATCATAAGATCTTTCTCAGAACTGTTTGAAAAAAGAAAAAAAAAAAGGCATGAAGAGCCAAGAGCTTGCATTCTGGCCAAGTTAGGAGCCTATGAGAACAAGAGCTTAGGGGAGGGCTGTTTGCTCCACGCACACAGCAGAATTAGCTCTCTTCCTCTGGGTGTTGTGCTGCAGTAGCACAGAGGGAGAGAGATCCAGGGATCTGCAACAAAAAAACGATGACAGCCTGAAATATCCTCTGGTGCCCGGACGGGCTGAGAGAGCAGCAGGATTTCAACGCCAATAAACCTGATGTGCTTCCAGGCAAGGAAGCCAAGCTAAGGAGGAAGGGGGTTGAAAGGGTTCCTCTTGGGCGTCTGTCAGACTTTTACTTCCTGTTGTATGCAGAGGGGATTCAACATCAGCTGCAAGCCACCAAGGCCCTGGGTCCAGCCATCTCTCCGGCAGGTAAATGTTAATGAAATCGCTACACTGGCCAATCGCATGTGTTAAACTGCCTTCTATTATCTGAAAGGGCTTATTAATGATTTTGATTAGATAATTCAAAGCCATTTATTCATTTTAAAATTCCACTTTGAATAATTTATAAGGGGAAAAAAAGAGAATTTTACTTTTTGTGGTCTTCTTTTCCCACTAATAAACCATAGTTTTATTAATGACCAAGCCAGAAGTATAGATTTCAAAATCAAACGATAAGCATGTTTTCCATGTTTAAATTACCTACAGTCATCCATCATTGCCATTACCTAATAACAATGTAAGATTGGAACATTTTGTTTTTCTAAGAGTTAGGGACTCTCCTCTCTCTCTCTCTCTCTCTCTCTCTCTCTCTCTCTCTCTCTCTCTCTCTCTCTCATAGTACATTCTGCTTCTGTTATTTTCAAGTCATCCCTTTCCTGGTTCCTCTCTCTAACCGTTTAGCAGATTTTTCTCACCTCCTGTTACCATTTGTTATGATGTACACAGGAGGAAAAGAAATTTATTCAATTCCTGATAATGTCTTCTTTAGAAAGACAAAATGCAGAAAGAGAATTAAAAGCTACAAGCAGCTGTGCTGTCTCCCAGAAGGTTCTCGGACCTAGCTCTTCTCGATTACAGCATTTTCCTGTGAGCCCTGCTTGCTCATTCCTCCAGGCACAGGGTCAGCCTGCAAGAGAAAGCTGTACCCTGCTTTCAGCTGTGAAGAGATACAGTTGAAATGGCATCCCAAGAAGTCCTGCCACAGTCCTGTTTGCACTGCCTTTTGTCTGCAAAGAGGTTAAATATGTCACCTTGACATTGAATCAGCCACTCCTCTGGGGCAGGCCCTGACCATGCGCAATAGAAATGTGCCCACAGTCTAAACTAAAATTATTCTCTCCTTTCTCTTAAGATACCAGGTTTTTGTTTTTCAGTCCACAGCTTGTTCAGCTAAATCTTCATGGTTCTGAATTGTTTTGTTTTTCTTAAAGATTTCCTTCTTAGAAAAGATTTAAACTTTGGATTATCTAGTGATCTAGCAAGGTAGGGTAGTCTATTTCATCGGCTTGTCATTCAATCTACTGGGAAAAGATATGTGTGTTGCTTGAAGAGTGTGCCCCCTCCCCTTTATTCAAAGAGTTTTTGGACAGCCATTGCTTGCTTAGACTATTGGGGGACGATTTCCTTGCTATATGGCACAGATCCATGGTAAAACAAGAAATAGTGATGACAGAATGAGGTGTGCTGTGAAGGGTCTGGACAACTCCAAATGTTGTTTGCCTCGTTCCCTCTTGACTCTTACTCTTGCTCAGCTGACTTGAAGCCGTTATGAGCAGGTCTGCTTTGGTTAACTTTAGCATAATGTCCAGAAACATGTTGGGAACATTTTTTTTCCTGCCAAGGAGAACAGAAACAACTTGTCACAAGGCTTGAGGCATGTTGGACTTTCTTATTGTCCTGGAACAATCCAGGAGAACCTCATGTGGGTCTCACAGGATGTCTTCTGCCACAGCTGCATTTCCGATGGCATGGCTACCTGGGCATAGCCTGTTTCCTTGTCATGGACATCAAAGGACATACAGAACTCTGGGAGAGACTGGCTTCTTCAAAGATAGCCAGTAAAATTAACATGAGAAAGACGCTGGGCTCTGCTTCATATATGATGACCACATAAGTGTGACTTACATAATAAGACCACGAAGATGTGGTCTATGTGCACATTGCCGCACTACATAGCTCAGGGACCCTGGGCAAGTGACTTTACCTGTTTTTGGCCATAGAACCATTTGTTATGCCAAGATGCAATGGGAAAATTAAGTGGAAAAAGTACCTATGCCTAGTATATATTAACTAACTATAGCAAATATGAAAGCACTGGTCTAGCTGTAGACTCTGGGAAGGGATGGACTCCGGGCTTCCCCTTGTACTGGTGTGCTATGCTCTAATAGAGTGGACAGTCGTGGACTGCAGAGGTGCATGCACCTGAGCTGCAACTCCAGGCCCCCACCCCCACCCCGCATACACACTGTATGAACTTCACCAGGCACTTCACACCTCCAGGTTTCAGCTAACCATCTCTTAGACAAATGATTCCTGGAAGTGAGGTTGTCCTAAGGGTCAAATGGGATATTTATTAAATACAGCTAGGACACCATACTCACCAGAAAAATTAATTACCATAAGAAATCTCATGCCCTAAGCTGTTTATTATGAACTTGGAATGAGGCTTCTAGCAGCAAAATTAGAGATGAATAAAGAAATATTCTTTGAGTTATCTGTACTTTACTCAAAGAAATGTAAAAGAAGCCATCTTCAGGACTTCTACACAGGTGCTTGTTACTGAGTATCTATGCTTCCTCTGTTAGCAGCTCTGAATTAGCAGCTCTGAAATGGCCCGAGTCAAATGGTAGGGAATGATTCTCAGTGCTATCCCTTCCAGAGTCATGCTACTCTGCAGTCAGCTCTGGTTTAGGGCTCTCCTTAGACAAGGGGATCAGGGAAGCCCCAACACTTTTCCTTTCAGACCTTTCTTTAAGGCAAGAATAGAGGTTTTGACTTGCTCTGGGGGTGGTTTTTTGTTTTTTAGTTTTTTTTTTCTTTTTTTCTTTTTCCTCTCTCTGTTGACATTCAAACAAAAAGGCCCTTTTGGTGCTGGTTGTTGTGTTTTTTGTAAACTTCTCCCCTATGTTCCTAGCATTGAGATGTCAGCTGCTTTTCCTGGCCCTGTAAAAAGGAGCTGCCTGTTGTCATGGTGATGAAAGGGTATAGAGAGGGTCCTGAGTCATGACCAGCTCTATGAAACAGCTCTTGTTGGTCTTAAAATCCTTCTGTGGAGATGGAGTGTCCAATCCTGGCTCAGTTCTTCCTATTATGTAACCAACTGATGTGCAGCAGCACTAAATGTTTCCTTTAAATATTTGGAGAATAGAAGGCATTAATCAGGCAGCTAATGCAGAAGCCATCCCCTGTGGGGTGCAAGGGGAAAAAAACCAGGAAGGCAAAGGAGAAATAGAAGTCACCATCCTTGATGACACACACTGCAGTCATTACTCAGCATCTAATCCATGTTAAGGCTAGCTGCTAAACTCAAAAGCCTTAGCTTCTCCTGTGTGTAGGGGGAAACTGATCACTGTAACATTAACTGAGACAATGGATGAGAGCTTTAGCATCGTCCTTCCCATGATGAGGTCTAACACTGACAGAGGTGGCCTCTTGAACTTGGAGTCTCCTGGAAATAAATTTTAATAATAGCCTCAGGAAAAAAAAATCATTGATTAACTGTGGAACAGTTAACAACTATAAAGAAAAAAAGAAGGAATAATTATCAGCTTAGCAATTGGTTGGTATTTATTTATTTATTACATTTTTAAAGGATATTAAAGTTGTTTCTTGTCTGAGTCCTAAGGCAAAAGGTACAAGCCATTTCATTCTCCCTGACATATTAGCTTTCATAACATCTTAGGTCAGACAATCACTTAAATAATGCTATTTTTATCTGATGCCTCAAGCTACTAATGCATGCAGTGCTCCTCACCCTGTACAATGCCAAGGATGGAGGAAGGAGCAGAACCAGAACAGGGCTGTGCTTCTCAGGGCCTGCATGTGGTGAACTCACAGGAATGGAAACTGCACATGCAAGCATAAGGTGACCTTGAGGGCAAAGCCAACCCAAATGTGAGAATGGACAATGCATGAAGATTTCTAACCTACTATTCCATGTACGAATTTTAATATCATTCCATTGTCATAGTTTTATGTATTTTATTATCTCACATATCCTGACCTCTGTGGAGAGTCTGCACATGTGTCTTTGACATCTGTGTCTGTGTGGATTGGAACCACTCTGTCACTGCCTGACAGTAGCATCCTCAGTCCTACAGACTATGAGTCACCTTTAAAAACCTGCTGATGCTGTGAATGGAGCTCCAGGCACAAGTGCTCACCCTATAGTGATGCCATCCACATTTTAATTACTTGCTGTTTGCCTCTTCCAGTGCTCTTTAAAAGGGCTTATGTAAAACCACTTAAATCTGTAAGTGGGGCTCTAGAATTGTGTGATTTCAACACTTGCAATGATGAAGTCATGCCTTAAGAATAGTGGTTAAATCTGCTTTATTTCTTTTTTCACCCATTTTGTCAAGGTTGGCTTCCTAGGAATGAAAACAGGCAGTGCCTGAGGCTGCTTCAGATTGGTTTCCTCAATATTAATTTTTTACTCAAAATGAAGTCATTCAGATCCTTTAACGAGAGAGACCTCAGAGGCACCAAGTTTACAATGAATTGGTCTTTTTATGAGGATAAAAAGTTCACCCTATGTCTGAACACATATTTATGTAATTGTATGCTGAGATGTATGTTGCACAGTTGAAGCATGTTTGTTCTAAGAGAGTTTGATGGAACTTGACCTCTACACAAGGTCAAAAGTGGCTTCTCCCGCTCTCACCTCCCCCCTTCCCCCATCTGAAGGCTAAAAATAGAGATGGGGGGGAGTGGTTGGGAAGAATAAATGTGAGCGGGAAGGATCACAGTCTATCTGACAATTTGATGGACAAGCAATCAACTCCTCTGAAAAGGAGATGAGAATTGAATCTTAAATCCCCACAAAGCACTTCAGCACTAAATTTGGCAAATCCACTTGATTCGGGTGGCATGTGGGTCTCAACATCTCAGTGGATTTCCAGTTACATTCAAAGCCCAGGTGGCCAAGAGCCTTGTCTACTCAAAATGAAGATCCACACGATAGTAGATTCAGTTAGAAAAGATATGGGTATTTGTGGTCTAGGAAAGTCTGTGCAGGTACATCCTGATGTCAGATGGTGACTCAGCAGAAACTCCAAAATAGAAGAGCTTCGTTTGCACCCTTCAGATGACTTTAATGCCAAGCTTCGGGCCTCTCCAGGGAGACTCATTAATACTTTAAAAGCCCCAAAGCATCAGGGTTAACTCCAGATCAGGTAGCAGCATGAATTTGGTGGGTGAAACATGAC